TGGAGAACTAGAAGGAGTTAGTGGTGTCTCACCACCTATCCACAAGTGCGCCCAGAAGAGGACGACTCGTGATAACTCTCGTCAGGCCAGAGCAGAATAGGCTGAAGTCGGTCTCGTCAACAATGTCGCGAACTCCAGCGGTGAGCTCATCGTACCAATCTCGTGCATTCGTAGCTCCGTACCCTCTGAAGGCATGAGACTCACCCTATGGCAAAGAACAAGTATAATAAGAAAAGGCAGTAATGAAAATACAGTTCGAAAATGCAATGCAAGAAATGCAAGTAAAGACAGGAAGGAATGCTTGAAAACAAAGCTCATACCTCAACGACGATAGATGAAAGGTGAGAAGTCGACTCCCTCAACAAGAGATCCTTTGGCATACCGAGAATGAAGTCACTAAAGCGCCTAATGCCACCGGCTTGTAAGATATATGTGCGAGGATGATAACTCTCCAGATCAAATGATCGTACTCTTACTAGTAGTGGCTCTGGCTCAAGCTCTAGCTCGAACTCTGCCTGGAGGTCAGCCTCAATACCTCTAGCCACCTCTGCATCGACTGGCTCGTTGGCCTCGGGAACAGGTGGAAACCATCGTGTGGTGAACTATCTGCCATCTGGAAAATGGGTGAAAAGTAGATAAAAAATGAGAAAAAACGGAGAAAAGAGGGTAAACTTGGAAAAAGTCAACCCTAGGAGAGAGAAAATGGAAGAAAAAGTCAAAGCCGAGAAAAGTTCGTAGAACTCGAGAGAAACTCGAGGGGAACAAGCCTAGAAGGGTGAAAATGAGAAAAAGTGTATCGAAATCAAATTCCAATCGATTCAAAGTGAAGAGAACTAAGAGGGTTTAGCGAATAAAGTTTGTGTGGGGGTTGGAAAACACGTAAAAAGCTCGGATCTAGGGAGAAAAAGGGTTCTAGAGAGAGAGAGAGAGAGAGCAATTTTGGATGTGTGGTAGTGAGGAAATGAAGGGCCTTTATTTATATTTAAAGACCCGAGGCAAAATGTCCAAAAAACCCTCGAGCTGCCATTGTTGGCCGGCAGGTGGCCGGCAAGGCTCATTCGTGGCCGACAAGGTTCTTCCATGGCTGGCAGGTGGCCGACAGCCTTCCCTTGAGGCCAGCCAATGGTCGGTGGCCTTCTTTTGTGTTTTGATGTTGTTTTGTGTCTTTGTTTCCTAGAAGTGCAAGGGAGATTCACTGCTGGGTCCAGATTGTCTCTACGAAAGCTCAAAACAGTGTTTTGGCTCACGATGTTCATCACTTGTCAACATGAGCGAGGTGTATCATTTTTAAACATATTGTAATCCCTCCGAGAGGTGAATCGGAAAGTCCCATCTCTTTTCGCTTTCTTTTGTTGCATAGCATATGCATTACATACGTTGCACACGTATCTTACATTATTCATGCTTCACGCAAAAATCATGTTGTTTATCATGCATAGAATATGCTTTTGTATCTTGCATAGAACATGCCCTCTGTCTTGGTTGTTTAGTTTGTGTAGAATATGCATTGTCACTACATCACATATTGTTCATGTTAGTTATGCTTTTCTTTCTTCCTATACTAACAGGCAAACGATATTGTATGAACGGTTCATTCAGAGGAGTTCCGAATAGAGTCGTTTGTATCTCGGTAGGGGAACCTATTCATTCGCTTTATGCATCTATCGCACTTGTTCACTTTGTGCATCTATCGCACACATTTACTTTGTGCATCTATTGCACTTGTTCACTTGTACATCTATCTTGTTCACTTTGTACATCTATCACATTTGGTCACTTTGTGCATCTATCGCACTTGTTTACTTTATGCATCTATCACACTTCTTCACTTGATGCATCTATCGTACTTGTTCATTTTGTGCATCAATTGTGCTTGTTTACCTTTGTGCATCTATCGCACACCCTTTTGTTTCATCTCGGGATGTACGAAAGCCCAAGCCCAATGTAACGCTGTAACAAGCCCGCGGGGGACCTCGCTACAGCTCGGACTCGACTCTTCGCAGTCACGGTTCTAAGTCTGAACCAAAGAGTCCAAATCCGGCAAATCATTTTAGGAAAACTGATTTTTGAAAGAAGTGCCAAACATGGACTGCTTTGCCAGATACAGAGTCGCCACCTAAATATTTTATTTTGGGAAATTTAGGAAACCCTGACTCGGTGCCAAAAGGCCACGTGTCCGTCATCACCAAAGTCACATAGTCCATGTTTAGGAATCTATTATGTTTTTCCTGTGTATAATACAAATATTACAAATAGCCAAATAATTTTGAGAAATAAATAAATTGAACCAACCTTATCAACTATGACAGTTGATAGTGATCACCTACGAATCCTCCTTTTCCTTCTTTAACTCCAACGACACAAACCAAGTCAAAGAAAATAATCTCAAAAGAAAGAAAATAAAACTTTATGGGCAAATTACACATACCTCACTTGACAATTATCCTTTTACCATTTTTCCTTTGTTGTTTTATGATTGATTTTCAGATAAACTATATTTGATGAAATGGTTGAGAGTGACACTATAATATGTTCTTTTATTTTATTTTGAGGAAAGATCAGGTACTGTTTGTATATTTAACAATGCATATAAGGTGTTTGAAAAAATGCATGTGATAGATAGAAATTGGTAGTGGTGGCTGTTGGGTTTTAACTGGTTCTGGAAGGTGCATGTCAATTAATTTTTTCCTTATTGTTTAAAAGTACTAAAATAAACTTTGAAGGATAAATATTTTATTTTCATTTATACTTTGATGACATTATTAATTTTTTTACATTTATCTAATATTGATTAACATAAGATTGTAAGTGTACTATAATTAAGCTTTTAGCAAAATTTGTTATAATTTTTTATATCCATCGTCCTTTTTTTTTTTCTTTTTTTTTGTAATTATAAGCGGAGGTCCATTAAACAACTTTTGTACAAGCCAATTTTTATAAGCTTTTAACATAAGACAATTTTTGTTCTATTTTGATTGTGAACGTTTAGTGGTAAATTTTCACTAATAGGTAGGATTCACTGATTAAGTGTTTAAAAAGAATAATGTACTCGAAATCCCTTCAAGCCTATTCTTCTTTTTGATTATTCCCACCCATGCATGTGCAACGATCAAAACCTTAGTTTAAGATTTAGTTCACTCTAATGTCTATAGCATAGCATCTACAAAAGATATAGTGTGCAATAGTGAGCAAGAATACTGACCATGGAGAAGTTTCAGATTGCCACGTAAAACCAAACGAGATTTCTGTTTTTAGAGTCCGTGTTCAATAATATGATTCTTTTGTGGTTTTTCATCCTTTGCTTTAATGAGTTCAAGTGTAATGGGGGCACAGGGTAAGCAATCTTGTAGAATGTTAATAGTATAACGTTTAGCAAAAGAATCTTTACTCTAATGTGTTTCAATAACCTATCTTTTTTGGGTCCAGCAAGTATATTTCCATCATGGATGGAGGTTTATTCTTTTCTTTCAATAATCTTTACTGTAATATGTTTCAATAATCTTTACTCTAATATGTTTCAATAATCTTTACTCTACTTTTTGGATATCTTTTGTTTTAATAATTTTTTATTTCCAGCAGGTTGACAATAGGTTTGTCCAATCTAATTGCTTTATTGATGTTTACAGTTTGTGATTGAAGCATACTCTAATTTTTTGATATCTTTTGTTTCAATAATCTTTAATTTCTAGCAGGTTTGTTAATTTCCAGCAGGTTTGACAACAGGTTTTTCCAATTTAATTGCTTTATTAATGTTTACAGTTTGTGATTAGGTGTAATATTTGATCAGGTGTGTCCAATACATTGTGTCCGAAGCATTGTGTTTGCTTAATAGGCTCACATTAGGCAGCTTGAGAACTTCCTTAAGACCTTTCATATTGAAACATTGTGGTAAATATTTGATTTGTATTCTTACTTAAGCAATGATTGATCATTGTTATTTTGTGATTATTTCTTTGGTTGGTTGTGTTGGAAATTTATAAGTATGGTTTTTTTCTTGCATGTGGATAAGTGGATGTTGACCCAAGGGCACAACAAGATGGATGATTTGATGCTCATGGATTTTCTTTGTTATGTTTATTTTTATTTTTTTTTGTCTTAGTTAAATCTAAACCACATTTCATTTTTCTATTTCAACGAATAGGCTCTTAACAAAATAATTCATGAGTTAATTGGTTTGAATTTGTAGTATCATACTGTTCAAGCTTTAATTAATCTCATTAGCAAAAGCCTTTGTATTTTCTTAGAATTCTCTGATTCAAATTATTATTTATTAAATTTGATATTTTAAATTGAAGTGAGTCATAATTGATAGATTTTATTGCGAGAGACAATAAATTTAAATTTGACGAAAATGGGTTAGAGAGAGATGAAATGTGATGAACCATTATGAGATATAGAGAAGTTAGTTTCAAATTGTTGAACCACTTGACGAGGCCTTTTTTTTAGAGAAAGAAATAGAGCTTTAATTTCTATATTATTTAATTTGTATATAAATATTCATTCAATATGTTATCTTGCCATGTATAGGACACAACAATATTCACTAAGTTTAATTTACTATTCACTCAGTTTGTTATCCTTTCTATTGTTATGCTTTTCTTAATGCTGACATTGATACATGTTTAGGAATGTAGGATTAGGTGTAATCTGAGTTACGCCATGGAGTACGAGATTTGTCATGTCATCAAAAAATAAAAAAAATTTTTTACCAAATTTGTCATGCTCATCAGTTGAGGCATGGACTACTAGATTTGTTCCTGAATGTGGGAGAGTTTTTTTTTTTTTTTTTCCTGCATGTGATTTGATGCTCATGGATTTTCTTTGTTATGTTTATTTTTTTATTTTTTATTTTTATATTTTGTCTTAGTTAAATCTAAACCATATTTCATTTTTCTATTTCAACGAATAGGCTCTTAACAAAATAATTCATGAGTTAATTGGTTTGAATTTGTAGTATCATACTGTTCAAGCTTTAATTAATCTCATTAGCAAAAGTCTTTGTATTTTCTTGGAAATCTCTAATTGGTTGTTAAGAGTTTCATTGTTCTAGGTTAGTTTAACTAGATATCTTTATGTATTCAAATTCAAATTATTATTTACTAAATTTGATATTTTAAATTGAAGTGGGTCAAAATTGATAGGTTTTATTGCCAGAGACAATAAATTTGACGAAAATGGGTTAGACAAAGATGAGAATTGATGAACCATTATGAGATACAGAGAGGTTAGTTTCTAATTGTTGAACCATTTGATAAGACCTTTTTTTAGAGAAAGAAATAGAGCTTTAATTTCTATGTTGTTTAATTTGTATATAAATATTCACTCAGTATGTTATCCTGTCATGTATAGGACACAAAACAATATTCACTCAATTTAATTTAATATTCACTCAGTTTGTTATCCTGCCTATTGAGTTGATTTTTGGATTCTATGATTTTTGTCAAAGATCATTGCAAAAAATTGTGAAACATGCAATTATAGCTCTTAAACATGGGTTTGTTGAGTTTTTTTGGTATTGTTCAAATTGAAACCGTAAAATCATCTTATTCAATAATATTATATTAAGTTATTCATGCATTTGTTATTGTTCTTCAAATTATTTTTATTACTGCAATGAGTTCATTTTGTTGTCAAATTAGAGTTGCTTTTAAACAATCATTTTGTTGATTTCTCATATGTATTTTAATGTGATTTCTCATAGCTATTGGTTTTTTAAAGTGAATTTAAGCGAGTGATTTTGTTGTAGGTGGCTGATTCGTATTGGAAGCGTTGGGTTGTTGCTTCTCTTTATGTGTGTAGTTGGTTGGCTCTCATTGTAAACTGGATGGTTAATTATTATTATTTTTAGTTAGATAGGATGATTACTCTTTTATACCAAAATATTCGTTCACCTTTTCTTGAAGGTATTGAAATTTGATAAACTGAAAATGTTACCAGTTATGATACTAATTCAGTAACATCCTTTTATTGAAGGTTTGCTATACATATGTCATTTTAGCGTGGATTGACTTCTAAAATTTGTTGTTTGGACTTGAATTTTAGCAAATATTTTTAGATTCTTTTATTTGCTTATGCTACACTATAATATAAAATTTATTATTTGGACTGTAATTTTGAAGTTTGCTATTTGAAATTTATGAATGTTTTTGCCAGTTTACTATGTAGAAACAATTTCAACTTCTTATTTGTGAAGTATTAAATTGGAGTGATATATCATTTTAAATTGATTTATTACAATTAAATTCCGTAACCCATGTGGTACCAAAAAAATTATTGACCGTGCCTTCCGGCACGGGTTATTCCTAGTATATATATATTTCAAAAGCCTTCAATCTGTGAATCCTTAAAGTTAGAACTGATGTGATACCTCACATGGCATCTGTTATATGTGAAGATGGTAAAAATATAAGAAAATAATTTTAATAAACAGGTATGGGTTGATTTTTTTAAAGAAAAATTGGGCCTAAAATTCATATTGGACCTCAAGCTAATAATGACACAAAAATTGGGTTGGGCCTAAAATTCATTGTTGACACCTACAAAGAGTAAAAAAATGAAGCATTAATTAACTTTTGATATTGCTTTTGCAAAGAGACCAATTGGTTAGGACTTAGGAGATTGAGCCCGCATTATTGGGCTTCGTGCCACAACTCTTAAGGATCAAATTATTTTTCTCGGTGGTGTAGAAGTAAAAAAACTGACTGAACCTTCGGAAGAAGAAAAAGAACAAAAACAAAACAAGCAGACAAAAAATAAAAATAGAGTTTATAGATTGGGATCTTATGGAATCAGACGAAAATAATCAAACTTTGAGGTTTTAGTGTACCATCGAAGGTGAACATTTTTTTTGGGCGGCGTATTTGGTGGCTTAGTTTACAAGCTTCCAACGAATCGTTGGATACGAAAAATTTGTAAAACACTTGTGCAAAAGTATGTGTTGGTTTTTTTTCATAACAATATTAGAAAAATGTATAAAATAAACTTAAATAGAAATGACAAAATAAATTTTATTTTATTTTATTTTATTTATTTATTTATTTTTTAAAGAATGAAGTACAGAACAAATTACAAAACTAAAAAATACATGAATGAACTAGATTACATCATGGAATATATTACAGGATGAATTCATATTGACATACAAAATAATATACAAGAAATAGTTTAAATTTAAAAGTTTGAAGAACAAAAGATAAGAGACGCAAACCGAAATCTATGTGATACCATAGTTTCTTTAAAATAGATTCACTGCCTCCTAATAGGTGCTAGAGGTAAGACGGTCAAAACCAGCTCATGTTGAAACACCTTTTGGATAGTTTCGGCGAACTTAACAATTGCAGCACTCTCTCTTTCTAATAGGAACCAAAAAAGACACTAGCAAAAAAGATGGGAAAAATTTTCTTTGGTATAAAAATTATTTCCAACTTTATTATCTCAAAATACCATCTCATTTTCTATCAAAAATTTCTCCAAAATTTATTCTACTAATTTGGAGGTAAAGCCTCTATTTATACCTGTAGGGGAGAGAGTCTTAGCTATGAAGGCCTTGGTTGGCCCCTAGGTCTTGGTCCTAGGTCATTTGGATTATAATTAAAGACTGGATTTGGAAGGTACTCTCTTATTTCTGTGTATTCAAATGCAGGATTACATTAATTCCCTCCTCATATCTTTCTTAAAGTGTTGGTGGTTTCTAAAATGACACATGTTCATTTATAGTTGTATGTTTCTGTGGAGTTATAGAAGGACCACAGTGTACCTTATTTCCTTGAGTCTCTTCCATAACCTTCCTTGACTGGCTTGGCTTGATGTTGTTCTTCTCAAACAAAGCAAGCAATTCATCAATCATAACTTGATTCTCATATGAAGACATAGAACCGCTTGTTAGGCCTACAAAAGTTGTGTATGCAGCAAAATATCTGTTGTGTATGTAGGAAAAATAGCCTTCCTTGGATCTGTAGAAAGGCCACTTATTTGGCCTACAAACGCTACATTCTGGCCATTCCCTTGGCATTCTTCTTGCTCTGCCACTAAATGGCCATCTTCAATATAGTCTCTTACTCCCTCAAACTGTGATAACCCAACTCATACTCTACTTAATTATGCATGTGTTAAAATTGATGTATTATTGATTGATGTGTATATTGTGTATATTACAAGGATTTATATAGGAGAGGATTTGGGAGTAGGTGAAGGTGGTAGTGGAGGTGGTAGGTGAAGTGGGTGGTAGTGGAGGTGGTAGGTGGAGTGGGTGTTAGTTGAGTAGGTTTAGGTGTACATTAACAGCCCCCTCAAACTCAAGGAGGATAGGAACTAACCAACTTGAGTTTGAAGAGAATAACAAAACAGGAAAGTAAACTGATAAATAAAATAAAACAGGATAGGAGACACGGTATGGTCGTGTCAGACCATTGTAGGAGACACTGTATGAGGTCGTGTCAGACCGGTGTAGGAGACAGTTTATGAGGTCATGTCGGACCGTTGTAGCAGGACAGTTTACGAGGTCATGTCGAACCGGTGTAGCAAACAGTTTACGGGGTCATGTCGGACCGTTGTAGCAGACACTGTGTGGTCGTGTCAGACCGTTGTAGAAGACAGTTTTATGGGGTCATGTCGGACCGGTTGTAGCAGACACTGTGTGGTCGTGTCAGACCGATGTAGAAGACAGTTTATGGGGTCATGTCGGACCGGTGTAGAAGACACTGTATGAGTGTGTATATAGGCTGCCCAAAAGATATACATGGTTAGAACTGATGTGATCCCTCACATGGCATCTGTTATATGTGAAGATGGTAAAAATATAAGAAAATAATTTTAATAAACAGGTATGGGTTGATTTTTTTAAAGAAAAATTGGGCCTAAAATTCATATTGGACCTCAAGCTAATAATGACACAAAAATTGGGTTGGGCCTAAAATTCATTGTTGACACCTAGAAAGAGTAAAAAAATGAAGCATTAATTAATTTTTGATATTGCTTTTGCAAAGAGACCAATTGGTTAGGACTTAGGAGATTGAGCCCGCATTATTGGGCTTCATGCCACAACTCTTAAGGATCAAATTATTTTTCTCGGTGGTGTAGAAGTAAAAAAACTGACTGAACCTTCGGAAGAAGAAAAAGAACAAAAACAAAACAAGCAGACAAAAAATAAAAATAGAGTTTATAGATTGGGATCTTATGGAATCAGACGAAAATAATCAAACTTTGAGGTTTTAGTGTACCATCGAAGGTGAACATTTTTTTTGGGCGGCGTATTTGGTGGCTTAGTTTACAAGCTTCCAACGAATCGTTGGATACGAAAAATTTGTAAAACACTTGTGCAAAAGTATGTGTTGGTTTTTTTTAGAAAAATGTATAAAATAAACTTAAATAGAAATAACAAAATAAATTTTATTTTATTTTATTTTATTTATTTATTTTTTAAAGAATGAAGTACAGAACAAATTATAAAACTAAAAAATACATGAATGAACTAGATTACATCATGGAATATATTACAGGATGAATTCATATTGACATACAAAATAATATACAAGAAATAGTTTAAATTTAAAAGTTTGAAGAACAAAAGATAAGAGACGCAAACCGAAATCTATGTGATACCATAGTTTCTTTAAAATAGATTCACTGCCTCCTAATAGGTGCTAGAGGTAAGACGGTCAAAACCAGCTCATGTTGAAACACCTTTTGGATAGTTTCGGCGAACTTAACAATTGCAGCACTCTCTCTTTCTAATAGGAACCAAAAAAGACACTAGCAAAAAAGATGGGAAAAATTTTCTTTGGTATAAAAATTATTTCCAACTTTATTATCTCAAAATACCATCTCATTTTCTATCAAAAATTTCTCCAAAATTTATTCTACTAATTTGGAGGTAAAGCCTCTATTTATACCTGTAGGGGAGAGAGTCTTAGCTATGAAGGCCTTGGTTGGCCCCTAGGTCTTGGTCCTAGGTCATTTGGATTATAATTAAAGACTGGATTTGGAAGGTACTCTCTTATTTCTGTGTATTCAAATGCAGGATTACATTAATTCCCTCCTCATATCTTTCTTAAAGTGTTGGTGGTTTCTAAAATGACACATGTTCATTTATAGTTGTATGTTTCTGTGGAGTTATAGAAGGACCACAGTGTACCTTATTTCCTTGAGTCTCTTCCATAACCTTCCTTGACTGGCTTGGCTTGATGTTGTTCTTCTCAAACAAAGCAAGCAATTCATCAATCATAACTTGATTCTCATATGAAGACATAGAACCGCTTGTTAGGCCTACAAAAGTTGTGTATGCAGCAAAATATCTGTTGTGTATGTAGGAAAAATAGCCTTCCTTGGATCTGTAGAAAGGCCACTTATTTGGCCTACAAACGCTACATTCTGGCCATTCCCTTGGCATTCTTCTTGCTCTGCCACTGAATGGCCATCTTCAATATAGTCTCTTACTCCCTCAAATTGTGATAACCCAACTCATACTCTACTTAATTATGCATGGAATTATGTGTTTGATATGAATTTGCAAGGTTAATATGTGAATTATGTGAATTTGGAATAATATCTGTTGAATGTAGCAATATCTGTTTCAATTGCAACTTTAAACTGAAATTAAAAGTCTTAGAAGCGCGATAAACAAAAACCGACTTCGTATCTATGATTAACGTGAATTATAGAGCTTATGATGAAATTTGAAAAATTACAATTCGTAATGATTAAATTAAAGAATTATGAGTTAAGTCATATATTGGTGTTGGTCTCTTATGCTCTTCATTGGGTGGAGAGCTTGCTAAAGTGAGTTAGAGAAAAAGAAAGAAGAAGAGCTAGGGTTTTGGGAGAGAATCAAAGGGCAAACCTTAGTCTAGAGTTAAGATATGATAATCTACTTATAATCTTTGTCTCTAACTCATCCTTGTCATGGAATCAAGAAGAAATTGGGAATTGTGGGCTAGGGTTTGAGTTATGTAATGGATTGAACTTAATGCAAGAAATCTCTTCATATTTGTTTGATTTGAGTCCA